TTGGCAAACACTTTGAACTTTCAGTGGAGTCACCAGAACAAGGACTGCAGGTTAGGGGTAAGAGCTAAATTTTAATTTAAAAGAAAACTGGGGAAGAAAACAAAAACTCTGCTCTAAAAGAGATTAAAGTAAGCTTCAACAGATTCTAAGGAATAATTTAACAAATCTAGCATTCTTCTAGAAGAAGACAAAAAATCCAGAGTTCTGTATGTTATTCCCTGCATCATAGAACACACAATAAAACAGCTCTTCCGGGAATTATCCTCACCTGCGATCATCACTGGCCCAACTGATTTAGGAGTGAGAGCACAGGAGTGTCTCCTTGCCTCTCACATTGGATTAAGCTGTGAAGACAACCAGATGTGAAACGAGACTGAAGACAAATATGCTACCTTTGTGGCATCTTCTGGTACCTTTCAACATTATTGCCTCATTCTTTCTATAGACTTTACAGGATTGTGTATTTTTTGTCATTTGAGAATATGGAACACATTAAATGATCTTATCCAAATTCTAAGAGAGATAATGTAGTTCAAAGGGTGATTTAATGCAGAGGGTAAATTTTATTGTGGTGGTTTGTGTTTTTAAGAGAGATGCCCAGAATTTACATCAGATTGAATTGCCTTGTGGCATTTATTTAACCAGAACAAATACTGTACCTCTGAAGACCATGTAGAATGCAACTACGAAGACAGATTTCAAACTGCCATTGTTATATATTTGTAACCATTGTATTAGATAGACCATCATATGCTTCTTGTCCCCCAAGACACCAAGTCCTCTTAGTATTTTAAATAAGGTGTCTGTCTAAATACACCAATTAGCAAAGTGCCACTCCTTTGACCTAACATAATTCTCTATATTGGAGAAGGAAATGGCAACCCACTCCAGTATTCTTGCCTGGATAATCCCATGGACAGAGGAACCTGGAAAGTCACAATCCATGGGATCGCAAAGAGTCAGACACGACTGAGTGACTTCACTTGCTTTTACTAATCTCTATATTCTCAGTTGTTTTCTCCTTGCTCTCTCTCTACATATATATATATCTTCCCTGGTGGCTCAGACAGTAAAAGCATCTGTCTACAATGCGGGAGACCAGGGTTCGATCCCTGGGTCGGGCAGATCCCTTGGAGAAGGAAATGGCAACACACTCCAGCACTCTTGCCTGGAAAATCCCATGGATGGAGAAGCCTAGTAGGCTATAATCCATGTGGTTGCAATGAGGGACTTCACTTTCTTTCTTTCTATACATATATATCTATGTGTGTGTGTGTATATATATATATATATATATAATGTGATCTCTGAAAATCTTTCTTTCTCTTACAAACTCTGATTTTAATGTTTTTATAGGGAAGGGATTGCCAACTGATCTTTAAGAAACACAGAAATGCATTTTTAGGAATTTTCTACATGTGGTCAAAAGGGGGCAGTGCTTCCTTTCATAAACATAAATTTGGTTAAAAACAGGGCTGTTCATATGTGAAGACTCTGTGGAAGGAAATTAATGAAGTGGAGGAAGTGGTAGTCAGATTTATGTTTGCTTGGGCAGGAAAGAGGACGACCTGAGTCTTCGCAGGAGAGATGAGTAAACTCCTAGGAACATTGTTGTTGATTCTGTGGCTCCAGTCTGACTGTGAGTTGTGGGCAGAAAGTTTAAATATAGTAGAAAAACTCCAAAAATAATGCAAGGCTGGGAGATGAGATAATTGGGGATTTTTATTTCAATATATCTTCTGGCTTATAATGGTTTTCTGTGGAAATTTTAAGAATAAAATTTGAAATGTGTTACTCTCTTTCCAAACAGGGGTGAAGAGTCAACAGAAGAATGGTGACCAGCAGCAGGTTAAGCAAAATCCTCCATCCCTGAGTGTGACAGAGGGAGGGATTTCTATTCTGAACTGTGACTATGATGACATTATGCTTAATTACTTCCATTGGTACAGAGTCTACCCAGCAAAACGTCCCACATTCCTGATATCAATAGGTTCCGTTTTGGAGGAAAATGAGGATGGAAGGTTCACAGTCTTCCACAACAGAAGTGCCAAACACCTCTCTCTGCACATCTCGGCCTCCCAGCCTGGAGACTCAGCCTTGTACCTCTGCGCAGCCCACACACGGTGCTCCCCAGGCACCTGCAGCCTGTACGCAAACGTGCTCTGGGGACTCAGACTCAGAGGCACACACACTTGTTCCCCATTATACACGACAGTGTGAGAAGCTATGCCTTAAAGTGGGTGAGGCAGCTGAGCTTCAAAGAAAACCAACGGGTGGCAAGTTCCACAAATGAGTTAAGAACATTCCATGGGCTCCAGGGTGTCCAGGAATGTAACCATTTTCCTTTTTTACTTTCAGAGAGAGGCTATAGGTCAGCTGAACTCCAGTCACCCAGGATGCTTTGTTCTGACTTGCTCCTGGAATGAGGTTCCTTGTTACGCTTGTATTCCAGGGGAAAGTGTGTTCAGGATAGGGAACCAGATCCCACTGCAAGTTTCACCAGTGGATGCTGGTGTGCCCCTGAGTATCAGTAGCCATGTGCTTCAGTTTTGTATAAAATGGACAATTTAATACATGATTATTGTTTCTGGATAACTGTGTGTGTGTTACTCACTCAATTGTGTCTGACTCTTTGTAACCCTGTGGACTGTAGCCCTCCAGGCTCCTCTGTCCATGGGATTCTCCAGGCAGGAATACTGGAGTGGATTCCATGCCCTCTTCCAGGGGATCTTCCCAACCCAAGGATCAAAACTGTGTTTCTTATATGTCTCCTACATTGGCAGGTGGGTTCTTTGCCACTATCACCACCTGCGAAACCCTTAGGTAAATTAACCTTTCCATGTAAAGCATTTGAGAATGTGTATATTGTAAATCACATTTATTTACTCTCTTCTTCACTTATAAGTACTTCTGGGCAATGCCTCAGCAAATCATTTGCTGTGTACTCTTTCCCTGAATGACATTCAATATTTGACACATTGTTCACAAGTAAATGTTGATGCCCTGTGAATCATAATAATAAATACAAGCATCTCATAAAGTTTGTCATCTGCAAAGACCTTATTATTGGTAGCCATTCTTACTGTCTGCTGAGATGGATATAGAGCATTGAGCATTTAGGATGCAGTTCAATGTTGAGCGGGAAGAACCAGGCCAAGGTCATTCTAGGCTGATCATATGATCCATATGAATTTAGAGGACGTGGAAAACATACCAAAGGTTTAGTAAATCAGAGGTCTTCAGTAGGTTGTCTGTTAATCAAAACCACAAGTAGTTTACGACTTCAAACTTATTTATCTACATGGTGAAAGTTTACCTACAAGAAAGTCTCCTTTCTTACAATTGAGTAGTAATGAAATGAGTCTGTTAGCTAATAAAAGATACCTTGACATTTTATATTCTAACTTCCACTGTCTATTTGTATGACCTTTTGCTACCATCCCATCATGGGTACTGAAACAATTTTAATACAAATTATTCTTTGATTTTTGAATATATAATAAATGCATATGGTATAAAATTTTAAAATTATACAAAAGGGCATATACTGAATGTATCTATAGTGTATTAAAAAAGAAGAGAATGTGTTAATCACTCAGTCATTTCTGACTCTTTTCGACCCCATGGACCATAGCCTGGGTTCATGGGATTTCCCAGGCAAGAACACTGGAGTGGGTTGCCATTCCCCTCTCCAAGGGATCTTCCCAACCCAGGGATTGAATCCCGCACTGCCAGCAGGTTCTTTACCACCTGAACCACCAGGGAAGCCCATCTATTGTGTATACAGGAAAGTAACATTACTTCTTACATGTATTCCCCACTATCCTCAGAACCCTAGTAAAAAAAAAAAATATGATTAAAATAAAAAATTTCCTTGAGTTATTTGTATTTTTATTCTTGAGTTATATGTGTTCTTTATGTATTCTGAATACTCAGGCCTTAATAGACATGATTTGCAAACAGTTTTCCCCATTCTGTGGGTTGTCTTTCTCACTTTCTTGATACTGTTGTTTGAAACAGAAGGTTTGCAATTTTGATGAAGCCTAATTTATCTACATTTTTAGTTACTTGTGCATTGCTATAATATTTTAAAAACCATTGTTTAATTCAAGTTCACAACAATTTACATCTATGATTTCTTCTAGGAGTTCGATAGCTTAAAATTGTATATAGAAGTCATTGATTCATTTCAGGTTAGCTCTTTAATATTGTAGGTGATAGAGAGATACAACTGCATTCTTTTGCATATGAATAATGAGACATTTGATCTGGAGTCCCTAACCAAAAGAAAACTGAGTAGCTATGCTAATATCAGATAAACTGGACATTAAAATGGAAATTGTTACTAAGAATACAGAACAGCACTTCAAAATGATTCAGTACACACTCTACCAGGAAGATAGAAACAATTCTATGTTTATGTGCATGCTCTGAATATCATAGCTTCAAACTACATCCAACATAAATCAGTAGAGTTAATCAGCAAAATTAAACTTGTAGAATTTATTGATTCGAAAATAATCAGTAAGCAAATATACAACCCCTGTGGCAGGATATTAACACACATCTCTCAATATTCCCTCAAGTAGAGAGAAAATATTCTCTACTTATCAAAGACAATTACCTATTTTTTACCTAGTTTACATATATAGAATACTTTAATCCAAAACAACATAATACAGATTAGTTTCAAATGCATATGGAACATTTATCAAAGTTGACTCGACTCTGGATCTTCAAGCAAGGCTTAATTATTTCAAAAGATTTCAGTCATTCAGAATACAGTCTCTGATCACAATAGTATTAAGCAAGAATTCAATAACAAAAAGATAATTAAACTTCATTCCTGTAACTTGCTAGTTACAATAGCCATTTTTTAAAGGTATTCCTCCAGGAAACATCAAAGCAAAACAGTGTTTTGTGGTGGGGTAGATGTTTCAGTCTCTGAATAAACTAAACGGAACGCCCTTATTATGCAAATCACTTCCTGTTTGCGGTAGAATCATCTAAAAGCCACGGGGACTCTGCACTCAGCTACTCAGAGAAGGGCGGGTGTGTGCCGCAGTAAGAACAGGAGCAGTTTCAACCAGAGAAGCGCGTCTGTCATGCTCCGCCCGGGCCTGCTGTGGGTGTTCATGGCTGCCTTTGGCCTCAGTACGTGTGGCCCTGAGCCTGGAACCTCAGCTTCCCCTTAGAGCTGAAGGGTGGCCCTGTGCAAGCTGTGACTGGCAGGGGGGTCAGAGGGAAAAGAGGTGGGGAAATGAACACCTAGGTGACCCTTTTCTTGTCCCTGTGTCGTAACATAACCGAGCCCTCATGATCCCTGAGTCACTTCAGAGGACCAACCCTGTCTTCTTTTTCCACAGGATCTAGCATGGCTGACACAGTAACTCAAGCTCAGACTACAGTAACAGCGCGGGAAGGAGAAGCTGCGACCATAGACTGCACATATCAAACCTCTAGGACTTGGCATACTTTGTACTGGTACAGACAGTTTCCCGGTGGAAGGATGGAATTCCTTATTTATCAGGATAGTGAAAAAGCAAATGCAAGGAGGGATCGCTACTCTGTAAACTTTCAACAGGCAAGAAGATTCATCAGCCTCACCATCTCTTCCTTGTACCTGGCTGACTCAGCGGAGTATTTCTGTGCTCTCTGGGACACAGTGATAGAAATGATAGTAGCGGATAATCAAAAACCTTAGAGCTGCATTAAGGCAGCCACCTGTTCAGAGGGTTAGGAAAATCCCATGAACCACAGACAGGAAGAAAGCAGGCACTGTGGTAGAACAGTTGAGACCTTCTAATGTAAACTTTCCTTCTATAAAGTATGTTCCCTTATTTGAACTCAGGGTATGAAATTGCACTATTTCCTGAGATGCCCACATACTATGTTTGTTCCTTGGGTTAAAATAAATCATAAAATTCTAAACAACGAGATTGAATGCACCCACTTATTCTGGGCAAATCAGAAGTAGTTTTCTAAGTCTTGAATTGTTGGATATTCAGATCTGAAGCTGTAGTAAAAACCATCCGTGGGCTTTCCTAGTGGCTCCGTGGTAAAGAGTCCACATGCCAATGCAGGTGGCAGGTTCGCTCTCTGGCCCAGGAGGACCCCACATGGAGCTGGATAGCTAATCCCGTTCAGCACGACTACAGAGCCAGCGCCCTAGAGCCCGTGCTTCGCATCAAAAGAAACCCCTGCAATGAGAAGTCTACCCATCACGACCAAAGAGTGGCCCCCTTCACTGCAACTAGAGAAGTCTGCACAAGACAATGAAGATCCAGCACAGCCAAAAAATTAAAAAATATTCTAAAACATCATTCACTTTCTCTTCCAATATCATCCCCATTTTAACAGTTCTCACAAATATAATAATTCACCTTATTACCTTGTATATATGTGTATTTTATTTAATAAATTAAACACATAAATATAAGACTTTTCTGGAATCAAATAAATAAGTTACCAATCTTTTGAAAGACCTGGATGGTCAAAATCAGCTTTGCCTAAAACAAACTATGGTCATTATGGATTCACAATACAGTTAAACCTTGAACAAATCACATGGATTTGAACCTTGGGGGTCCACTTATACACAGTTTTTTTCAAAAATAAATACAACAGTACTACATGATCCTCAACTGACTGAACTGTGGGCACAAAACCTCAGATAATGGAGGAATCATGTGTAAGGAGGACCTACTACAAGTTACACACAGTTTTTCGACTCTGTGAAGGGTTACCTCCCACCCCTGGACTCTTGTGATGTTTGAAAGTTAACTGTATTTCTTCAGCTCTTAACAAACCCAGGTAGAGAAGACTGAGAAGCCTATTTACCAATAAAGAAGTGATAGTCCTTAAGATGTGGCCAAAGAAGATAATGGAAAAAGAATATCCTTGAGTGCTAAGTCAGACAATGTGAAGAGCAATGAGCAAGCTAGCTCCTTACATGAAACACAGAGTCTCATCAAAACAGGGTAAGAAATGCCCCAAGCAATTCCTCCTGGGACCATAGACTTGCTTCAGATCAGCGCTGTGTCTCTTCTCTTCCCAAGAGAACTTGGAATGATATAATCCAGTGTCTTCTCCGTAATGGTATACTTGGTATGTGGAGCTTACTTGTCTTTCTTCACTTGTTTGTTTTCTGCTTTTTGTTTTTTCATAGATCTTCACACCAACAGGCATCTGTGGAAGACTGTAGGGTCTCAATTAGAGACCCTGCTTTTGCTCAAAAGGGGTGACTGAACAGGGGTTCTAAGCCATCTTCCTTGGAGAAGGAATACCTGAGTTCTTGGTTACAAGTTGGGAGCTCGACTATGGAGCCCAGGATAGCTATTCATCAGTACTGTATCCAGTTCCCTCTCCTCCAGCCATGCGGGAGAATTGCCTCCTGAAGACTCACAGGGCCATAGGACTTCCTTCAGCCAAAGAAATGTGAATAGAAATGACATGTGTCACTTCATGGTAGTGGCATTTAACTGTCTAGTTTAAATTTCAACCTTTACTTTCACAGACTGTGGTGATTGTTGAATTTGTGTTGATACAATATTTACAGAGCTTCAAATGTGAAAACATTAGCCATCACATGTAGTATAGCTGACCTGGAGAATCACTTTGATTCAAAATGAATTATGACTGTTTCATTGAGCCATGGATATTTGGAGTTGCTTGTTATAACAGCGTAACCTATCATAACTTGCGTACCAAACTTACCTAAATACAGAAAAAAAGGAGTAGGCACTGTAAAAGGACACAATAGTCTTGACACTAAAACTTGAATGAAGAAACGTTTTACAAGGTATAAGATAGAGTCTTTCAATGAACAGAAATTCAAAACTTTTAAATGAAATATTAGCAAAAGAATTAACATTTTATATAAAAGCACCCACAACCAAGTTGGGCTCTATGTATGCTGATTCAACACTTTAAATCAATCAAAGTAATAATTCACATTAATAAAAACATCAATACACAATCAATAAAAAATGCACAAAAGTATTAAATGTGTAATCAACATTCTCTTATTATAAAGAAAGAAATTCCCAGCAACTTAGGAATTAAAAAAAAACCTTCTTCACTTTGGCAAAGGGTATATGCTATAAACATCAAGCAAATACCCAACTTAATGGTGAAATGTTAAATCCTTTCTTTCAAGGAAATCAAATAGCACTATTTCTGTTAAACAGTATACTGGATCTTAGCTAGTATAGGAAGGAAAGAAAAAGAAACAAAAGTTTTAATAATTAGAAATCAAAGACTATCATATCACAAATATGATTGTGATATAAACAATGCAAAATAATCTACAAATTACTAAAGCAGTTTACTAATATAATATTTAAAATTATATTTTATATGCAACTAACTAAAAATTAGAAATGAAATTTTTAAAAATATTCTCAAAAGCACATAAGAATCAATGTACTAAAAATAAGAATCAGTATACTTAGGATTAAATTTGTAAAATATTGTTACAATATCACAGCATAGAAAACTATAAAAAATAATTTATAGTTGCATATAAATGCGTCCCTGGTGGCTCAGTTGGTATAGAATCTGCCTGCAGTGCAGGAGACCTGGGTTTGATCCTTGGGTCAGGAAGATCCCCTGGAAAAGGGAATGCAACCTACTCCAGTATTCTTCCCTGGAGAATTCCATGGGCAGAGGAGCCTGGCAGCTACTGTCCATGGGGTCACAAAGAGTTGGACATGACTGAATGACTAACACACACTATAAATGGGAGAATATACCATGTTCATGAATTAAAAAATGAGGCAAAAATGTCAATCTTGTCACATTTTATAAATACATCCAATGAAGTCCCCATCAGTCTCATCTCTGTGTATGTGTGTGTAAATTGAAAAGCTAATTCAAAACATTGTATTTTTTAAGAGGTCAAGATTATTTAAAACACTCTGAAATTTAAAAAGCAAGACAAGGACTTCTTCTACCTTAAATATTAAGACTATGAAGTTTAAACTATGGTATGAATGAAAGAATAGACAACTGGATACAGATTGTCAGCTCAAAGTATTACATTTGCCTCTCACATATAATCTCTGATCTTTCTCCTCCTTGCTCTCTGCCTCAGGAGGCTGATCTGAGTGGACCACATCAATATGGCTCCTTTGAAATGAGTGCTCTTATAAAAGAGGCTCCAAAGAAATTGGTATGCAGGTCAGGAAGCAACAGTTAGAGCTGGATATGGAACAGCAAAGGTCTATCTAGTCAAAGCTATGGTTTTTCCAGTAGTCATGTGTAGATGAGAGAGTTGGACTATAAAGAAAGCTGAGTGCCAAAGAACTGATGCTTTTGAACTGTGGTGTTGGAGAAGACTCTTGAGAGTCCCTTGGACTATAAGGAGATCCAACCAGTCCATCCTAAAGGAAATCAGTCCTGAATGTTCATTGGGAGGACTGATGTTGAAGCTGAAGCTCTAATACTTTGGCCACCTGCTGAGAAGAACTGACTCATTTGAAAAGATCCTGGTGCTGGGAAAGATTCAAGGCAGGAGGAGAAGGGGACGGATGAGAGGATAAGATGGCTGGATGGCATCACTGACTCAATGGACATGACTTGAGTAAACTCTGGGAGTTGGTGAGGGACAGGGAGGCCTGGCATTCTGCAGTCCATGGGGTTGCAAACAGTCGGACAGGACTGAGCAACTGGGCCTTTGCCCCTTCTACCACATGAGGAGACAGCAAGAAGACATCACCTGTGAGCCAGGAAGCCAGTCCTCACTAGACACCCAATCTGCCAGTGCCTTGTTCTTGAACTTCCAGCCTCCAGAACCTTATGGGGGAAAAAATCTCTGTTGTTTCTAAACTACTCAGACTGTGGTAATTTGGTAAGGCAGTCCAAATCGACTAAGACAGAAGGAGAGTAGATTAGTGGTTGCCTAGATGTAATTTCACAGGGAGAAATGGTGAGTGTCTGCTAATGGTATGGGTTCCTTTAAGAGATCATGAAATGTTCTAAAATTGACTTTAGTGATGGCTGTGCAATTCTGTGAATATACCAAAAAACCATTAAATTGTACAGTTTAAATGGGTGAACTGAATCTTATATGAATTATGTCACAAAGACATTATTATGCAAAAACAAATCAACAAAAATTAAAAGTGCCACAATATTTATGGTTCTCTGTGCTTGGTCTGGAGAAGGCAATGGCACCCCACTCCAGTACTCTTGCCTGGAAAATCCCATGGACGGAGGAGCCTGGTAGGCTGCAGTCCATGGGGTCGCTAAGAGTCGGACACGACTGAGTGACTTCACTTTCACTTTTCACTTTCATGCACTGGAGAAGGAAATGGCAGCCCACTCCACTGTTCTTGCCTGGAGAATCCCAGGGACATGGGAGCCTGGTGGGCTGCCATCTATGGGGTCGCACAGAGTAGGACACGACTGAAGCAACTTAGCAGCAGCAGCAGCAGTGCTTGGTCTGGATTGTCCATACCATCTGACCACTGCAGTATTTGCAGTAATAAACACTAGATGAAAAGTTGTAACTTCAGCTTGACTTTTGTATTGTGTAACTAAATGATATAATGACTCTTAACTTTCATATTTCCTCAGCACGCCCATTATTTATTTATATATTTATATTAAACATATATATATGTTTCTATCATTTATATATTATACCAGCCTTAAATTTTAATTGTTAGTTTATAACCTGGCAAGCAGTAAATGCACATTGAATGGTGATTAAACTGACATTGACTACACAACCATCATGCCATAGACTGCCAAATTTTCAAAACCAAGTTTTTCCTTTCCTATATATGTGAATTTTCCCTTTTTTGTAGGCTAAAAAATAAGAACTGGTGTGCTGTCTATTTGAATTTTCCTCTTAGGTTTGTTCTTGCATTTATCTTCACAGCTGGATACTTGTGTTCAGTTTATTTACCACAAAATTAGAAGCTTTGGTTTGGAATAATTTTGAGAGTCACTCCATATAACTTTTCCTAGTACATATTAATTAATACATTCACCCAGCAAGTTAGTATTAAGTGCTTAGCCTGTACTAAATCCCATGCTAAAGATGAATAATGGGGCCTTTGGAAACTGGCCTCCAACATGGGAAGTTCAACACACTAGGGAAGTAAAAGGCATTTGATTGAGGGGATTTAGAATTATTTCTGTAGGAAAAAAAATGTCACAGAAAGTGTTCTAAAATTCCCAAGTGACTGAAAATAATCCAATCTTTAGAATACTACGTTAGGAAACCTTGCCACTAGAGGGCCAGAGGGAGCGCCTGTGTGATACTTATTCTTAGAGTTGAAACACAAAGCCCCAATGGCTGCTGAAAGTTCCATTTCTTAGGAAAGGACTTCATGTATGCAGCCACAAGAGGGGGCTGTTACTCTGGAAAACCAAAGCTCCAACCAGGATGAGGGAGAGGCTCTCAGTGACTTATACAAAGAATCTACTTTCCTCCTCTTCATCACCTTGTACTTCATAATCTCACATTGAGTTTCAAGGGCCTGGGTAACCCCCTTCCTAAGTGCAGAGCAAAGAGCTGACCCACTCACAGGGGAAAAAATGGAGAGAGATGACTATTAGTTGAATTTTTAGTGGCCAAATATCAATTCCTAGAGTAGAGTAATAAGCTTAGTTACTACAGCTAAATAGGATGAGTAATCTTAATTTTTTTTTCTATCCATGGGCTTCCCTGGTGGCTCAGAGAGTAAAGAATCTGCCTGCAACATGGGAGACCTGGGTTCAATCCCTGGGGTGGGAAGATCTCTTGGAGAAAGGAACAGCGCTCGCTCTAGTATTCTTGCCTGGAGAATTCCATGGACAGAGGAGCCTGGCAGCCTGCAGTCCACGGGGTCGCAAAGAGTTGGACATGACTGAGAGACTTTCAATTTCTTTCACATTTGGTTAATAACCACTTTGAGGATAACAAAAGAAAATGCCTTATGCTTATTTTCATCTCTCTTATAAGATAGTTTCATTTAATTCTCGTTTCCATATTTTCTTTTCCCGTCTCCTCCTCTCTTACCTTCTCCTTAGTGTCCTCAATGCAGTCCATCCCTAAGCATGGGCAGGGAGAGGAGAAAGTGTGCATTAAAGAAGGCTCGGGTGGAATAGGGATAAGTAAAATTCAAGTCATCTGTTCCTGGATCAAACCTGAGGGATCCAATAAAGTCCACTTAGAAGATGCTCAAAACATCTTTCCAGGAGTCAGTAAGGAGACCCACTTACCAGGTGGCTTGCCTTTTTAGACTGGATTCTAATTTTCTTTTCCAATCAGACTGAGAACAGCAGTAGTATATAACTATGAAGTTATTTTTGTCATAAATGTTACGAATAGTTTCTTCCACTGTGTCATTTGATTTTTAACTTATGGTAACTTTTTTTACACCAAAAAGGAGTTTCTAGCTCTTGAAGTTAAATGGTATATATTGCTCTTCCTGAGACTTCTTTCCCCTGACTGGGAATATAGATAGGGATTCCCTTCTTCCCCCTATACCCCAGGGCTCAACATAGGTTTCCTGGATTAAATGACGTTTCACACCAGCTCAAAGGAGCATCAAATCACCAATAGTGGTTGGTTTTTCCTTGTTGTAAAAATAGATGGGTAACCTCCTTGTGGAAAAATGATTCATTCAGACTCATTCAGACATAGCTGATATGAGTTTGAACCTTGAAAGTAATCATACTGTAAGCTCCCTGAATGAGGGCTAAACATTGGGAAAATAGTGTTACACTCTATTTAGATTTATGTTTGATTTGGGGGTGCGAGTAGACCCAATCAAGAGACAGCTGACGCTTGGCTGGGGAACACCCCAATGAGCTGCCTGGTGTGGGGCTGTGCAAGTGGTGGCTGATTTGGCACTTGGGACCTCCCCCGACTTAAGCTCAGACACAGATCCTGAGCTCTGAGCCCTGGGACTTCAACTATGAGACTGGTGACAGGAATAACTCTTCTCCTGGCTTTGGGTAAGTGATCTGGGCCTAAGAAAGAACAGCTTTCATGGGTAAAGTCAAAGAGCAGATGTCTGCTGCTTTCGCTTCTCCCACTGTGCTTTACCAAACTGCTGGGAAGAATGTGCATCTGTGTGTTTCTATGTGTCTGTGTGTTTTCTAGAGTCTGAGCATCATTATCAGAAGTTATCAGATCCACTACTCACAGAGCCCCCATGAATCTCACTGTTTTCTGGCTGTAAGGAGATTTTGGGTTCAGTGAATCCAAGGATCATGGAAAATAGCAACTTACCTTTGGCCTTGTGGTTCTGGCTAGCTCAATAATAAATACGAGTAATATTTCTCCTGTCCTGTGCAACACACAGGACATGAAATCTCATGAAAATCCTCAAGGATGGGGCAAGGCCAGAGAATGTTTATGGGAATGTTTGTGAATCTGCCCTTTAGGTGCATCCTGATTTGACAATCTGGAGCTAATCGATTGTTTCTCAATACCTCAGGTGTATTGGGAGATTCTAAGACCACACAGCCAAACTCAATGGAGGGCACTGAAGAAGAACCTGTGCACTTGCCCTGTAATCACTCCACAATCAGTGGACCTGAGTATGTATATTGGTATCGACAGATTCCCCACCAGGGTCCAGAGCACTTGATTCATGGTCTGAACAACAATATGACAAATAGGATGGCCTCTCTGAGCATCGCCAAAGACAGAAAATCCAGCATCTTGGTTCTGCCCCAGGTCACCGTGAAAGACATCGCTGTGTACTACTGCGTCCTGAGAGGCACACACTGGGACAGACAGGGCTGCACCTGTGCAGTATGTCCTTGCTGGGGAAGGGAAGCAGCAGTGGTGTGCCTTGTTAGAGCCAGTTTGGAAGGAAACCTTAGTATACCCATGAAAACATGTAATAGTCATATCCTTAGTTACCAATATTGTATTGTACACTTTAAAAACTACTAAGAGGGCATAGTTTAAGTATTCCTGTCACAACAAAGGACTGTTGCTGAAGCCTGAAGCTCCAGTACTTTGGCCACTTGATATGAAGAGTCAGCTCATTGAAAAAGACTGATGCTGGGAAAAATTGAAGACAAAAGGAAAAGGGAGTGGCAGAGGATTGAGATGGTAACACAGAATCACTGACTCAATGCACATGAATTTGAGCAAACTCTGAAGGATAGTGGAGGACCGAGGAGCCTGGCATACTAAGTCCATGGGGTAGCAAAGGGTTGGATGCAGCTTAGAGACTGAACAACAACAACAAAATCACAACAAGTAAATAAAAATTTAAAGACAAAGAGGGCAAGAGAAAACTTTCAGAGGTATAACTACACAATGGAATATGACTCAGCAATTCGAAGGAATGAACTATGATAAGTGCAACATGGGTGAATCTCAAAATAAATACGCCCAAAGAAACCAGACAGGAGAAAGTATATACTCTAGGATTCTATTTACATAAAACTAGAGAAATTGCAGACTGATCTACAGAAGGAAAGAGCAGACTAGTGATTGCTTCGGACTGAACAGGGGTTGGAGGGGGGACATGGTAGGAAGATATACAGGAGGGGTTAAAAAGGAGCCCAAAGAATAAGGCCACCAGGGACCTTTGGGGTCATGCATGTGCTTTTACCTGTATTATAATAATGATTTCACATTTGTACACCTTGTAAAAAATGATCAAATTGTACATTTTAAGTATATGCAACTGATTTGATGTCAAGTATGCCTCAATAAAGCAGGTTTTAAAAGAATGAAATAAAAAACAGACCCAATGTTAAGAAACAATTCTACAGAGAGCAGAATTTTTCACTTTTTAAAATTTACAAAGGGGAAACTGTTTCAAGCAGGCAAGGGTAACAGTGCATTGTCCTAAATCTCCTAAAATAACATACTCTGTTGCAATGTGTTGTGCTGTGTGCTTACATGCTCAGTTCAGTCGCTCAGTCGTGCCCGCTCTTTGCGACCCCATGAACCGCAGCACTCCAGGCCTCCCTGTCCATCACCAACTCCCAGAGTCCACCCAAACACATGTCCATCAAGTTGGTGATGCCATCCAACCATCTCATCCTTGTCGTCCCCTTCTCCTCCTGCCCTCAATCTTTCCCAGCATCAGGGTCTTTTCCAATGAGTCAACTCTTCGCATCAGGTGGCCAATTCAGCTTTAGCATCAGTCCTTCCAATGAACACCCAGGACTGATCTTTAGGATGGACTGGTTGGATCTCCTTGCAGTCCAAGGGACTCTCAAGAGTCTTCTGCAATGCCATAGTTCAAAAGCATCAATTTTTCGGTGCTCAGCTTTCTTTATAGTCCAACTCTCACATCCATACATGACTACTGGAAAAACCATAGCCTTGACTAGATGGACCTTTGTTGGCAAAGTAATGTCTCTGCTTTTTAATATGCTGTCTATGTTGGTCATAACTTTCCTTCCAAGGAGTAAGCGTCTTTTAATTTCATGGCTGCAATCACCATCTGCAGTGATTTGGGAGCCCAGAAAAATAAAGTCAGCCACTGTTTCCTCATCTATTTGCCATGAAGTGATGGGACCAGATCTTAGTCTGGGGCTTAGATGGGGCCATGATCTTAGTTTTCTGAATGTTAACTCTAAGCCAACTTTTTCAGTCTCTTCTTTCACTTTCATCAAGAGGCTCTTTAGTTCTTCTTCACTTTCTGCCATAAGGGTGGTGCCATCTGCATATCTGAGGTTATTGATCCTGTCCTGTCTTTGTGACCTTATGAACTGTAGCCCATCAGGCTCTTCTGTCCATGGGATTCTCCAGGCAAGAATATGGGAGTGGGTTGCCATGCCCTCCTTGGGGGATGGACAAACAAGAAACTAGGTCTGATCTCTGATTGATTCAGTCTCCTGCACAAATGAGGTCTCTCAGAAGTCTTCATCCCTGAGCTAAAGTGACCTCTTCTAGGAAAGCCCATTCAAGAAAACCTGACTCAGCTGTGATTCCTAAGAAATCAAGGGATGGAGACTCTTCTGCAAGTACTCATAGGGACACTGGGGTTGCAGGCAGCCTGTGAGTATGTGCTTGAATGTAGGAGAGTTAGGAGATCATGACAACTTCCTGAGGGCAGGAACTGAGTCACTTTCTGTCTTGGGAAGGCTGTTGAGACCCAGATACAAGTAGAGATAGTCTTTGATACTGATGTGGTAATGTTGCCACCTGGAGGGAACAAGACAAGGTAAAGAAAAAACATTTCTAATATGAGCTTGAACATTTTATGTGAATCATGTATATATATATATATTTTTTTAACTTCATCTTTTTGAGCAGGCCGAGTATCCAAGAACTGGAGCACAGATCATGATCCCTGATCATCCAAGAGGAGAAAGATTTCACCATAAACTGCCATTCATCAGCGATCTCACATGCCTTATCCTGGAACAGACAAAAGCATAATGAAGGTCTGATAATCTTAGTGGTGCTATGGAAATTTAGGGAAGAAAAGAGTCAATGAAAAATAACTGCCAATTTGGATGAGAAAAAGGCAGCAAAGTTCCCCGCATATCACAGCCTCAAGTCCAGTCACTTGTGCATCTACTCTGCAGGGGAGACACACAGTGATTCCAGATCTTTACAGGCTGTCCCCAAACATACAGCTGGGCCACAGATGCTCCCTGACACAGGGCTCCTGAGGGGTTGCTGGGACACTGGCCAGGATGAGGAGCCTAAGGAAGATGCTATTGTCTCATTCCTGAAAAGGAGGATAAAGGAGTGAGAGCAAAGGAAGCTATACTTTCATTCTGAAATTTAATTTGACTTTGTGTTCTGGTAATTGTTACATTTTAGTGGGTAGAACCTCATGGGGTGAGAATAGCATGAATGTCACTGATTGCTGCAATAACTATTCACAAATCTTGTGCTTTAATTGTCCCAAGGAGACTCTTTCCCATCTGTTATTCATACACCATGTTAATAGAAAGAAATTCTCAGTCATTTATTGGGTTCATTGGAGCATATGAAAACTCTACCGTGAGTACTAGAACAGCAAGACTGTCATACTGGGCAGAGCCAAGAGCAATCTTTTATTCTGAGTTTATATTGTAAATATAGAGATAGACAAATAAATGGGTAGATAGATGAGAGAGAGAGTGACGAAGAGAAGAGACATAGATCTATGCCTAATCTGGTCTTATACTTCTCCAACAACATGTCACCTGTTCTCACCTCCCATGGGCTGCAGCCCCCTCACCTTTGACGTAGCTTCACAAAGAAACAGGTCATATTCAGTCCTGTGGCAGAGCTCAATTTGCAAACTTTTTCCACTTGTCTTATTGCTGTTGATAAAAAGATGAGAACTTAGGGCCAGATGGAATGGACTAAGACATGTAAATATTTTGTCTTTAGTTCTTCACCATCTCTGTTCCTTTATCTGTCTCCCTCCCATCTCCGCTCCTGCTTCTTACCAACCCCTCATGTACCCCAGTGACTCTCCAATACCCCTTTTGTCCATTCAAAGCCAAATGTTTCTAGTCACTGAATTGCTTTCCAAAATCTTCTTTCACTTTATGGGTTCCATTCCCAAATCAATCTGTAAAATGGAATGGTTTGTACTCTAACTTCCATTTCAAGCAACATGCTGGATTAGCTCTCCCAGATTATATTTGAAAAGAGAAATGTTCAAGGAGATTTAAAAGAAGTCACCTCAAATGTTATACTTTCAGTTGCTGTGACAGTTTGGTAAGAAGGACGTTTCATGGTAAAACAGTTTCCCACACTTTCAAGCCATAGTTTGGGTCATGTGCCTGAGTATAGGGCAGATCCTCTGCGCAAGGGTGCCAGCACCACACTGCTGGTATTTTTTAGAAACACATTTTTATTCAAATTTGTTCAGAAGGATAATACACTACAGAAAGGAAAAAGGATGAAGATTCTATTGCTTGACACTGCACATAATAATTGGCAGCATCTGTTATGTAGGATGGATTTCACTTTCATGACAATCATGGAAATAATGGTGTATAATACACATTTAAAGAACCATATTCATTTAGATCTAATATAGGAGAAGATATCGAATGGAGATATTATTATCTTCATTTTGCTGATGAGAAAACTGAGAGGCAGAAAAATTCCCACCAAGGAATGCTTCTGAGAACTTGAATTCTGGGGAAACACAGGAGACCCACAGCCACTCCAGAGATACAGAGGCCACTTGTCCATCTTGTGGTTGGCCCTCACCTCCACTGTCTTCCTTTCATTAGGTGCCATTACCAAATTTTTTCTCATAGTCATTGTCCACTGACCTGGAAAATGGAGGCAGGTGACGCTTTGCACCCACATCCCCAAACTGCCTATCAGAAAATGGTGGAAACTGGGTCGTTCTGCTTCTGATCCTGTCAGGTACATGAGCTAGACCTTCTTTGATTCCAAAATCTCTCCCTGGGGACAATGTGTGCAGTCCTGGAGCTGTCAGTTTCCTGCACTCAAAAGTGATTTGCTTATTGTTACTTCATTTTGTTTTACTGGGGTTCCTGATTGGTATCTTTCTTCTTTTACAACTTGAAATAGAAATAATCCATTCTATTATTGCAGGATTTTCTTCCTGAATAAGCTCACTACAGGCATTTGCTATGCCTTGATTTTCTGGCTTAGCAATTCGAATTAGAACAGAATCTAAATAAATAAATTAGAATACACAGCAATGGTATTTCTTAGGTTGTTTAGGTTGTTATAGAAATATTTTGTTATTGCACACATAAAGCATTGTTGCACACTTTAGACATATATAACATATATCTTAGTAACCTGAGTGTTGTTTTTTTTTTTAATTTGCCTACAAATTACCACTAACAATCTGG